AGCTTGATCCAATCAGCGCCCTGATGTGCATCACATGCCCGTCGTTAATAAGAGGAGAGAAGTACTACTGATAGTATTAAGAAAAATTAGCAGTTACAAAAACAATGCTTTCTAATCTGGTGGTGAATTATAGCAGACATGGGACAATCCGAAGATTTAAACAGAACTGGCCCAACTATCCCCTGTATTTGTGTGCCTAGCTTACATAATGACTATGACTTAGTAAAACATGGGGAAAATGTAGCAAAATGTCACTGCTGTCGTATTCACTGAATGAATAGAGTCTGTTGCACAGTCTGCCTGCTGACAATGGGCTGCCAGCACACCGATTCGTGTAACAAGGGGCTGCGAGTAGCCGAATGAATCCAGAGATTAAGATTCAATGAAGTAACTGCAAGGGAACTGACTGAAGATGTCAAATGCTGGTCATCCACACACAGCCCTGCAGGACTTCTATAACTTATCAATGAAAATGACCCAATAATGGTCATTCATGATGACAACCATCAGTAATGTCTTATAGTCAGTCAATAATAAGTCAAACTGCAAATACAGACATTCCAAATGTAACCCAATAATGGTTGAGTAATGCACGAAATATACAAATTATGTTTTTTTTAACAAATGTTTAATTCAGTCATGCTGAAAAACTCATGTTTACACAGAAAAAACAAGGGTGCTCATTTTTTAAACTAAAAACAATTGTAAAACGAAAGAATGCTGCTTGATATGTGGTTTCTTTTCATCCATATCCTTTACTTTCTGGTATTCTAAAGAAAACAGCACAGCAGCAGCTGCGTAAGGCTGGATTAACACCCACTGTCCACAAGAGGGAGCCGCTGTAGCATTAATCAATGAGAAGTCCAAACCCTTGTTCTGTCCCCTGGCTGCTCAGAGCCAGTAGGGCTCGCCCTGTGAAAACCCCGGACTATTTAAAAAAAATAAATTCAAAAGCCTGAAACTGACCGTGGTTTGTAAGTCTACAGTCAGCTGTGAAAAAAAGGACCTCTTTGGTCTGAGGCGTGGAGACCCGCTGAAACGAAGGTGAATTGGTAAGAGGAGACAGTTTCCGTGAGGCCTCCAGCTCTGGTCCTGAAGTGTGTTACAGGCGTCTTCACCTGGGTCTGAAGAGCAACCTCATGAACTAATGACTAGTCTTCTAAGAAGCTAAAGGCTGGGGTAAGATGAAACAGACACATGGCTCTGTATGGCCAGCGTGGGGAACTCCAGTCTAGAGTCTCTCATACTGGGGTCACGGTCTCCTCTCACTCCGACACCCACAGTTTGAAGGTGCGGTCGTAGGAGCAGGTGGCGATGAGCTGCCCGTCGGGCGAGATGTCAAGACCCATCACCTTCCCCTCGTGGCCGGCCAGCGTCTTGAGGGGCGACCAGCCCGGGTGGCTCCAGACCTTGGCGGTGTTGTCGTAGGCGCCGGTCACGAGGTAGTGCCCGTCCGTGGCTGGAGGGGGAGGGGGAGGGGGAGAGAGAACGCGAATGTTGAGAGGCAGCTAGGAAAGTCAACAGGTGGGAAAAACAGAGGCTGGCAGAGAAGGAAGGAGGAGCTGAGAGCGCGGCAGCCAGACTCACGCTGGAAGCGGACTGAGGACAGCAGGTTCTGGTGCGCGGGAATTGTGTAAACGCACTTCCTCTGTCGCAGGTCCCACACCTTGCAGGTGTTATCCCCACTGCCCGTGGCCACATGAAACCTGCGGGCAGGGGCACAGGTGAGCAGGAAGGACACACTTCAACTTCAGGCTGTCTCCGCAACCCTGCTGAACATACACACAGTCCCCGAGTTCACTGTCCACAGCAGGGCATCACCTGCTCCTCCGGGCGCCTCTGCTGGGTTCACTGGTGCAGAAAGCACAACTCCAGCCTCTCCAGCCAGGACAGACTGTGCAAGTTACTTGCACCGTCTGGGGGTGCTACAAGTAACCCCCCTACTCAGAAACCTTACTCCCACATTACCCGTTGGGCGAGAAGTTGATGCTGTAGATCTCCTTTAGGTGTCCCTCCAGAAACATGACACAGCGGCCTGTGCGCAGGTCCCACACCCGGCCGAACGAATCCAGACCCCTGGGGACAGAGAGAGAGGCTGAGGAGAGTGCAGACCGGCTGGAAACAGGGCGCCGGCACGCCATGCGGCGGGTCCGAAGGGCACGGCGCATGCGGAGCTCTCTCGTACCCGGTGCCGGCCAGGGAGCCGTCGGGATGGAAGTGCATGTCGTGGACGCCCTTGCTGTGGCCCTCCTGATGCAGGATTTCCTCCTGGGCCTCCAGGTCCCACAGCCGCCACGAGTTGTCGTAGCTGAGGGGGGGGAAGGTAAAGGCCAGGGGTCAGAAAGACGGGCTGACCGTGTGCAGAGCAGTCACGAGCACCACTGACCGCACCGCTGCGGGCTCACCAGGTGGTTCCCAGGAAGCGGCCGGAGGGGTGCCAGGCTACCCGGGCCACACGCATGGAGTGACCCTCAATGTCGGCCACAGGCTCGTCGCTGTGGAGGGGAGAGCAGAGCTGTGTTAGCGACGCAGACAGGGAGGGAGCAGAACCGCGAGGGTCAGACAGAGGAACAGGAGCGCACAGACGGAGAGGGACAGATGTGAGAATCGGGACTGATGGGAGGCAGACCTGTCCAGGCTCCAGAGCTTGACAGAGCCATCGGCGGCGCAGGACGCCAAGTTCACGTCCTTCTCGTCCAGAGACAGTGTGGCCTGGGGGTGGAAGGTGATGGCACCTACGTTGGTGTTGTGTCCTGAGGGACAGACAGAGGCCGTTAGAGTACCCGGCCCCCACAGTGGACCCCACAGCCTCTCTCTGAAAGCCCTGAGTGAAGGAAAGCTTGTGAGCTGGACAGCAGACTCACCCCTCATGGTGCGGATGAGGCTGCAGTCAGGGATGGACCAGAGCTTGCACAGTCCGCTCCTGTAGGAAGAGGGACGTGCTCAGGGAAACTCACCGGCACGACGGACACAGAACCATGCAGTGGGAGACCCGTACCCTCTGAACATGAGTCATCAAAACAATATACAAAGAAACAAGAGGAGTCCATGAAGTAACTCATAACCGACAGGCAGGAAAAAGAGGTACAGGATTTAAAGTGTGTATATCCAGCTTGGGGCACTGGCGTGTCAGGCACCCTGTCAGCGGGGGGCGCTGGAGAGTCTCACCAGGATGCTGTGACCAGCATTTTGGAGTTGGGGCTGAACTGGCAGTAGGAGATAGACCGGTCATCCCCAATCTGACTGCAGAAATTATTCAGATTCTGAAAGACCCAAGTGCAAAAAGACAAAACAAAAAGAGTCAATAACATCAGGTAATTTGCATGGATTTAAAGCATGCCAACAAATCGAGTTTTTGAGTTTGATTGTTCAAGTATTAAATCTTTACTAAAGGAAAATCAAACAAAATCAGGAAACTCAAAAAAATATTTTGTACCCCCCCCTCCCCCAACACAAAATCACAAACCAGAATCGCAAAGCTACATCCTCCAAAAAACGTGAACCTGCCACCCTCAGCTCCCGCCTGGCTTCCAGGCCCCACCCACCCGCAGTGACTTGTGAAGCTCCTGCTGCCGCGCGGTCCGGGTGGATTCTGGGATCTCCTTCTGGTCCCGTGCTGCCTCCAGCCGCTGCATTGTCCTGGGAACACAGAGCACACAGCGGGGTGACCCTGCCACCAGCCACGCCAGAGACTCACCCCGCCATGACAAGGCGACCACAGGACCACCGCTAACTGGTCAGGGGCTGTACAACACAAAGTACTCCTGCCGGACAGACCACTGCCCCTCAATCACTGCCACTGACAAACTGAGACAGTCAGGAATCACTTCAACAGGCTGATAAAAGACGCTGGACTGCAGCCATGCAGTTCCAGAGGCTGACGGTGCTGCTACTCCGAGACAGAGAGGGGCTACACGGTCGGGGGCGATATGAATTCTTTTATGTCTCCACAGCTGAACTTCCAGTGCGCTTCCAATCAAAGCCTCCGACAGCAATCGGCAGGGTTATATTAACAGCAGCCAGCCCAACCTGAGACACCCAGACAGGCTGCACTACATGTACAATCAGCACATCCTGCAACAATGCGCACAACAGTTCTCACGAGAAGATATAAAACAAGAGTTTTCTAGATGAAAAATAAAGTATTTAATGAGCAGGTTAAGTATAACACAACCTGCTACTCTCTCATGCTGCAGTGCATCTAGAAGCAGGATTAGATGCCACTGAGGAGTGTAAACACCCTAATTTCTCACCTGGGTAGGGAGTATCGGGCCAACCACAGACGAGCCTCCTTCAGACTGCCTGGGCCCTCATGGTACCAGGTCTGCTGGAACTGAGAACATGAGAGACAGAGAGGGAGGTTATTCAGACTAAAGAGCAGAGAGTGAAAAGAATAAAAGAATCCTGTCCTGCCCAGCTGCTCCTGTACCTCGTCCTGCGACCGCTTGGATTTGTCGTCCTCCTTCTTGGACTTCTTCAGAGCGTCAGTTCCCACCACCGACAGGATGTTCCGCAGCCTGGAGGAGAGAGGAGGCTTCAGCTCAGCCGTGATCTCTGGGGCTACGCTCCCCGCAGACCGGCACCACCGTCACTGCGCCCCCCTCGGCTGACCTCTGCACTGCTGCACCCACCTCTCCCGGCGCTCGGCGGGCCCCTCCCCGAACAGCGTGATGGGCTCCCCCAGGGCGCGCAGGCAGGCCTTCACCTCCGCGTCATCAGTGGAGACGTTGATCTGCCGAGCACGCTTCCTGCGCTCAAACTCTGCCAGGACTTCTGCCTGACGTTCATTCACCCGCTCCTCCAGCTCCATAGACTCGCCTGAACACAGACAGGGCACCGTTCAGCGCCGGGCACACAGGCGGGGCCCCGCTCGGGGCGCTGGCACACAGGCGGGGCCCCGCTCGGGGCGCTGGCACAGACAGCCGACAGCGTCAGTGACACGCGGTAGCTACAGGCCCCGGCCCAGTGGGGGCTGTGCTGTGTGCTGTAGGCCTGAACTGCGCACTGACCGCTGCAGATGTTGATGTTGCCGGCCTCGATGCCGGCCTTCAGGGCCTCCCTGCTGGCGCCGCGCGCATCGCCCCGGCCCAGGCGCTCGCGCTCGCGCTCCTCCAGGCTGCCATAGAAGATGCGCGACTTCTTCACCGCGGGCACGTCCTCCTCGTCCGACATCGTGCTCGAGCCACTGGACCGCTTACTGGACACAGGGAGAAGGAAGAGAGTCGAGAGCACGTCTCCCCAAACTCCTGGACAGCACCCTCCGCACGGCACACAGCGGGGTCCGGATCACAGCTACACAAACACACAAACACACAAACACACTTTCACCCAGGACAGGCGAGAAGAGTCCCCAGGCCGGAGGTGTCCTCTGTGTGAACACTGAGAACAGGGCACTGGGAGTCAGCAGGTCTGTGGTCACCTGTAACATCGCTGTCGACCCAAGAGTCATGAAATACCTTTCACATGAGACTTATCAGGACAAAATACTGACCTGTAACATCACATCACATTTTCTGTCCACTATTAACAAATGAGAGGATGTAAAGCAGCAAAATGAACGGGTTTTGTGCTGTTATAGGTGTTTAGGGTGACAGTGGCCGCGTAAACTCACAGGTCCACAGGTCCTGTAGCAAGGGTGTGTAAGGACTATGCACAGCATGAGTCGATGCGTTTAATATAACGTTGTTTATTTTGAGTATAGTTGATTTGTACTGTTAATGTATTTTTTAAGTGCGTGTAAAACATAACTGCTTGGATTTAAATCAAGTTTCTAAGAAATCAGAAAGTCTTATAGTTAACTATGTTAAACGGCAGTGGGAGCCAGACTGCAAACAAGGCAGCAAAGGTTAATAACTGTCGGCCCAGAGACATCAAGACCGATCGCATTAGTTTTCACGTTCAGCCAAATTAAACGTTGAATTCCTTAAGAAATGTAATAAAAGTAAGTCTACTTTCCCATAGAATCACAAACAGGCAGCGCAACGAGGAAACAGGACGAATTCAAATATTTCTACGCAACTCTGAGGATATCACGAAGAGAGGAGAAGCTACTTGAAGAAAAGTCACATCATTACTGTGTCCAGGAGCGGTGTTTCCGAACAGCAGTGCGACAGATATCAGCGCTGAGACGGAGCAGCAGATCTGAGGACTTAAACACGTGTGCAACCCTGCAGACCTGACCCCAGCTCTGCTCCAGGAACCGTGGACCCCACACACACTGCGGAAACTGCCAATTAATCGCTTCTATTATGAAAATGTATTGAAGTTACAAATACCTGAACTCCTAGACGAAACCACCGCGATGCTGGCGAGAGGAAGCGAGTATTGCACGAGCGCTCTCCAGTGGCAGGCGGACAAACCGATACCGGAGCCGGAAATTGCGTCACTGGTTGTAGTAGCAACCCATTCCGGACGGACAGCGCGTTCTGTCGGCCGGGAGGCCTAATAGACTTAAGGAATGTATTTCAAAACATATTTTTCCAACTAAATGTAAAATTCACCCATCGGTTAGTCTCACATATATTACAGAAGATATATCTATCACTTGAGATGGTGCATTGTTCTGACACATCATGTGCCCCAATATGAACCGCTAACTCATGAAACAAGGGGCTCACTGTAGTCCTATCTGGGAGATGTAGTTCATTGTACAAAGGAAGCCATCTGGATTAAGTCTCATTAGACTACAAATCCCATCTACAGGGGGTGCGCTTCCTTTTGTGGTTCACCGTTCATTTCAGCGGGGTCTATATACAATATAGGAGGTATGTGGGGTTTAGGACTACTTTACGTCCATTATTTACTGTATGTTTGCAATAAGAAGAAGTCCCAATTCCTGTAAATGTGTTTATTCCGTGCCTGGCGGCCTGTGAAGGAACACTTGTAATTTGAAGTTTCGAAACTTGGTTGACTGTTGCTGTTGTCCTCCAGACCTGCTTCTGCAGCCGGGCCGCTGGCAGCCTCTTCACCGCACGAATGACGACGCCCGGCTGCCTTTCTCATTTTGTCTTTATTTTGTTTTCAGCAGCAACGCCGGTTCGTCCGGGACGAGTGAGCGCAGGCTGGTCGGTCCGCGGAGAGCGCCGTGCGAGAGCTAGGTACCTCGGTTTGAGCTGCCTCGTCAGATATTCCCACCTGTAGCAAAGTATTATCTCAGTTTATGAATGTTACGAACACTTTTTTTATTATATTTAGAGGCTAAGATTAATGCAAGTGCTGCCCCTTATAGGCACCGATGTTTATACGTTAGCGAGGCAGTATGCAGGATAGGCCGGCTAATTACTGAGTTCTGAACAGCACAGTTTGATAACTGTTAAAATCCTGCCCTAGGTATAATATATTCTGAAATTATTAAAGGATTAATAAAATAGTTTTGAAAGCAATAAAGTGCATTAAAGTAATAAGATAAGATCACTTTATTGGCCATATACAATTTCTTGCATCAGGAATTTGTCTTTTTGCATACCACAGCTTGCTCTCCATGAGACACACAGACAGGGAGAGAAGCTGGGGGTCAGAGCGCAGGGTCAGCCATTTATACGGCGCCCCTGGAGCAGCTGGGGTGAAAGGCCTTGCTCAGGGGCCCAATGAAGTAGGATTCCTCTGCCGGCCGCTGGATACGAACCGGCAACCTCCCAGCCACAGGCGCAGATCCACCGCTCCGCACCTCAGGAACACAGTAGTACAGCAGACAACCAGACAATCTGTACGTGTATTAGCTACACGAGAAAGGCGTGCATGGCCCTCAGCTGTTGCATTATAAAAAAATCATGTCGAGGAAACATTCTGCAAGTGCCACCTAAAAAGTAGTGTGTTGCATTCTTTTATCATAAAATATATGGGAGTCTGAAAAACCTGTCTGATGTGACAGATGGACAGTAGATAAAACTTCCTGTTTCCTGTTTCCCAGAGTTTGGGAGAAAAAAGTTTTATTCTGTGAGCTTTGCCCCTTGACGGAGGACCCGTCCAAGCAACCGAGATCGGCGTTACAGCAGCTGGCAGTTCAGTTCTCGCCGAACCGCGAGACCCGAGTGGTACTGGTGGTACCGGCTTGCGCGGTGTTGCTAGTTGCTAAGTGGAAGTCTCCCTGCCGCCCCTGTGTCCAGGACCCGGTTCCCGTGCTGCCGGAGGTGGGGTCCAGTCCCCGGAGCTGCCACACGGCCGCCATGCTGCGGAGGAAACCCACTCGCATCGAGCTGAAGCTGGACGACATCGAGGAGTTCGACAGCGTGAAGAAGGAGCTAGAGGTAGGAGAGCCGCCGGAGGAGCCTGCTGTGCTAACACTCCCGGAACCTGAGGACGTGGGGATATAACGTTAAGGGCAAGAACAGGCCCTCCGAGATGTGTTTTCCTGTGAGTGGTTCTGTCACTGTACGTGCCTGATTATTCAAGACCCCAGCCTCTCGGCCCGGGCAGGCCGAGCACGCAGGGCTGCAGCGAAGCTCGAGGCTCTGGCAGGCTCCCTGGGGCGGAGGCGGCGGATGGCGCTACTGTATTTGAATGAATTGACAGAGCCTGTTTGCCCTCCTCACCCACAGAGCCGCAAGAAGCAGCGGGAGGAGGTGGATGTGGTGGGCGTGGCCAGCACCGGGGACATGGGCGGGGCTACGGCTGGGGGTGCCGAAGGCAAGACCAGGGAACAGATGATCAATGAGCGAATTGGGTACAAACCACACCCCAAACCCAACACCCTGCCCTCCCTCTTTGGAAATCTGCAGTTCTAGGGGCTCCTGGGACACTGCTGTGGTGCAAGTGGACTGGCTACACACAGACCATCTTTCAGACTGTTCCATCACCAGCTCCAGCAGGGGGGAAGGCATTTGTAGCCAAACTGTTTTTAATGCTTCCATAGCTGGACTGTTTTTTCTGGGAGTGTCTCTTGGTGCTGGATGCTAGTGTACTGACAGCTGAACCTTGGCTAACAAAGCCACCAGAGTAAAGTGAAAGAACTGGGGGTGGCACAGTGAGAGAAAGGGGCATCTCAGTGGGGAGCTGGGTCCTGGCTCCAGGGCACTCCATGCGGAGGACTGTACCACCGCTGGCCTCTAGAGGGCGCCAGGATGCAGCCACCAGTGTTCTGAGATTAAAATGCACTGGAAAATATTGCCGATACCTTTCTAGGAGCACTCAGTTTTTATGGATTTGAATGGAACTGACATTTAACAACAATTTTCTTTCTGAAACAACAAAAAACTTTAACAAGCTTCAGTGAAAGAATGATAAAAGTTTAATATCACCAGATGGAAGTGAAACAAGAGAATGTCTCCCTCACCCAGGCTCAGGGTAAAAAACAACAAGGCTGTGGAAGCAGTGTCTGTGTAGACTGTGGTTATATGCAGTGTTTTATTTTTTAATCGTACAAATAAAACCATCAACATGTCGTGACCCTGTTCTTGTCAGGCAGCTCAGTCTTTTGGCCTCACAGCTGTGTGCTCAGAGGCTCTCATGCAGGGCTCAGTAACTCACAGGAAACGGCTCGGGTCAGCTTTCTCGTACCATTTATTGATCAGTTACCTTCTGATTGGTTACAACAGTACAAGTAGATATGAGCACATACTGTAGATGATTGCTGGCAGGCTGATAAGCCGGGACTGCGGTTCACCGAACTGGTTCTGATCCCAGAGCTGGAACCCGGACTGTCACTGCACAGCAGCTGGAGCCTTGCGAGGTGCTTATCGGATCACACGGGTGGAGCAAAGAACACGTCGCCTGCTCATTCCTGCCCACATAGAGTCACTCGGAGCAGTGTACTTTGTACTTTTAAATGTCCTGTTTCTTGTGTGCTGGATTACATACAAGAGCCAGCAGCTGCTGAACTGTGCAGTGGGAATCCGGATTCCTGCTCTGTATTGCCCCCAGAACTGGTACAATCCACACCTTGGTAACACACATCATATCGAGGCTTTTGGTACAATAAAAATTAACGGCACATGGCAATTAAAAAAAAAATTAAAAATAAAGTGACACATGAATCTTAAGTTCATCTGCACAATATGACAGTCACCTTGCCTGCTGGTCCTCTAGAGTTAAGCCTGGAGAGTGTTGCTCAAACCCCAGACTTGCAGGCCCCCCTGCCTGCCAGGCCAGAGCAGAGTATAGGGCTAAAGGTTGAACAGCTCCAGCCTCAGCACTTCACTCTGATGCCTTTAGAAGCAGCTGCCTGTCTCTGGGGCAGCTGCAGTTAACGGCTTGATTTTGAAACTCCTGGACTGAGTGTCCTCTGAGGCTGAAAGTTTGAATCTGTAGAGACAGAGTGTAGCTCTGTTGACACTAACTAGTGACCCAGAATGCCAGAACTGTCTGCCCCCTGCTGGTCCAAACGTCTTGGCGAGTCTGGTCTCCCTGGGAGCAACACAACTCACTCATCCTGGATTGTCGCCACAGCAAGGCTGCTCTGGGTTTAAATTTAAATTAGGCCACAGTGCAGTAACATTTGGAGGGACGGCAACTCTGATTAATACACGTTACTTCATGTACTGGAGTTAATATGCTTCTGCAGCCCAGTGGCCATGGAGGGGTTCAGAGACGGTTCCTGATGGAGACGTCGACAGGCACTCCGTGCTACAGTAAAAGTTCATGTAACTAGAAACTCACCCTGGAGTAGCTCAGGCTTGGGTTGGGAGTCTGACTGGCTACTGTGCAGCCTGGGCTGTTCTGCACCTGCTGGCCTGCTGAGTGTGAAGTGTTAAAAGGAAACGAGAACACTTAGCAGTAACGCAGAACACTCCCGTTGCTAAGCAGCACAGGCTGCTGTGGGCTTCAGGCTAAGGCACAATGCTAGTCGAGGGAGCCTGGTTCAGCTGCATCATGGCTGCTGATTTGCTGGTGACCCGGTGAAACCAGCTGTATCAGCCTGGCTGGGGGTTGGAGCTCCGGCTGGGCTGTGGGGGAGGGATTTAGAAATGTGTGGGGGGACACTGCCAGGTGAGGGTGGACTGTACACGCGCAGGACCAATAAGGTGGGACTGTCGGCTGAGTCACAGCTCTCCCCACGCTGGCAGCTACAGGCAGATCAGATCGGACCTGATGGGGCTCCTGCTGGAAGGACACCCACAGGAGGCGGTACTGGCGCCAAATGGCCCACAGAGCTCCGGTTTCACAGGCACGGCTGTCGGTAGAGGTTCTTCATTGTCACCAGCTGCTTTGTGTTCTCGCCATCTTGTCCTGAATTCAGGAAACTCCTGAATACATAATCATATAATAACTTAATTTCAAACGTAATACGCGGTGAAAGTATTCAAATTGCCTAATGAATTGAATAATGGCTCATTAAAGTCTTTTAAGTATTGAAGAGGAATGAGACCCAGGAGACCGCTTCCCTCTGAGCTGCCAGGACACCGACTGCTGCCGCATCAGGAGAGACAACCGTTAAGGAGGGTGGCGACAACCTGACCGCTCCCACCTCTGGACATCAGAGAAGGGAGGTCACAGGGTCAGCGGGTCTTGGCAAAGGCTGGCTTTGAGGTGGACGTCCAGTCAGGAGTTGGCTCAGGGCTTAGGGGTCAGTTAGTGACAGTGCTCAGTAATGTCCACCACCACAGCCTTCTTCCAGCTGAACAGGAAGTACCCGGTTCCGGCCCCTGCCGCCACAGCAATACACAGGAAGCCATTGTAGGTCATGAAGATCAGCATGAGAAAGTAGCTGACCACCACCTGGATCACATGCAGCACCGTCTGGAGCAGGTGGGGCATGCTGAACATCCGCTGCCTACAGACAGACACCGCGTTACAGAGATGGACACTGACACACACTGCACTCAGAACTGAGACTGACAGCATTGAGCATGTAAATTGTACAGAGAAGTAACGTTTCTATAAGGAGCTTCTGGGATCTTTGACATCATGTCATTAATATCAGTGCCCGTCCCCATGAGTCCCCATGAGTCTCTCAGTGCATCGTGCCCCTCACTCACCCCACGGTCTTGTGCGTCTCCATCAGGACGGTGCCATTGGGCCCAGGGACTGGCATGGAATTGTAGCGAACGCTGACCTGGCTCCGCCGCAGCAGGAACTCCCGTCCGATCTTCAGCCCCTCGTAGAACACAGCCAGCAGGAACACGGCGATGCACGCTCCCACCATCTCTGCACGACAGTTCACACAACAAGGACTCTGAGCCCCAGAACCGCTCGACAAAAATGAGGAAGTGCAGACAAACTCCTCTGACACGCCCACTTTCTAGCCGCTCGTGTCTGAACACAAAGTGGCTCAGAACTGACTGGAGGACAGAGACTTTCCTCCCCAACAGCACTGCAAGTTGCAGGAGTCCAGAGTGTAGCTCTGTCTCCAGATGCCCAGAGAGCCCGGGCTGACTGATCACAACCCTGCCCTCAGCGGGGATCAGCCACCTGTGTGTAGCCGCCTAGGGAACCTGATCACTGTCAGCTACTACTCAGGCTCGAACCCCCGATGTCAAAGTCACAGAGCCAACCTGGAATCATAGGCAGCAGGTAGACCATTATTCAGAGATCCAGGGGCAGACAGATACTCAGGTAGCGTGTAACAGAAAAATGGAGAGACTGACCTCCTGGACTGTTGATGACGAGACCAGCGAACAGCAGCTCCACATTCTTATAGTCCATATAAAAAGTCATTTGCTAGGAAGAGAGAGGAAGAGAGCTAAGCAAATTAAATTCTGACAATTACAATAAAACTTACTGTAGTATATTGTGTAAACTGTTCTAAAAGGTAAAAATGTTCACACTACTTAAGTGACAAACTTATACTTACCATTGACATCCCATGCTCCATATCACCATGGTTATGGTCACCATGGGAACCAGTGGTTGACGGTGCCATGGTGCCGTGGTTGTGGTGCTCATGTGACATATTCATGCTTCTGTGGGGGGGATGGGACAGAAAGATTGATCAGTCATCAGCAGACACTAGGAACACTGTGCTGAAACTGGTTCTGTAAATCTAACGAGGAGTTTTAATCCCAGTGTCCTGGCTGTAATACCAATCCGAGCTTCTGCTATCCAGAGATAAAGAGACAGAGATACTGAAGTGATTTAAAACTTCCTGGCCGGTAATCAAGAGTGATTGTTTGCTAATAAAACCAGATAAATCAGGCCAATAGAACAGGCTACCTGGACAGAGCAGCCCTGGGGCAAGGTGCCTGCCTGCGTGTTCAGCTGTAATGGCGTCTCAGCCCCAGTAACTCAATCAAGGTGCACAGATGCTGCTCTCAGCTCCCTGATCAAATTCCCGACACCCCTCGGGCCAGGCAGTTTGATCGGAACGATGCTGATTGAAAGGAAAATGCAACTAAATTGATAAGCTTGCTTGTAAACACGCTGTTCACTCTGGCAGGTACAGAACAACCTCTAGGCTGGACAGCAGGGAACAGTCTGAGCAGAGAGAGGGATGAAGGACAGAAAGACAGCTGCAGAAAGAACTGGGGTTGGAAATTTCTTAAGGATGGACAAGGATGAGTCAAACAAGAGCTCCCTCTCATTTTTATATTTCTCAGTTCCAGGACAGGCAATTACATTCAGACATTCCTTTCTAGCTTTATTAGCAAACTGCCTGCGACAGTCACAGCAAGGTCACAAGCAGATGCTGTGGATATAAAGTGTCACTTTAATTATGGCTGCACTGTATTGGATTTTTATTGCAAAAGTGGTAGGTCTGGCTGAGCTACATTCTCAAATGTTCCTGGAAATCAAACAAAGGCTGAATTGAAGAAGGGATTAAAGGACAAACTATCAATAACACTTAATCACACTTTTTTTTCTCCAAAAACATGTCTTCAAATCCTTGAAAGAAAATCTCTCTTCAGAGTGACACTGCCCACATGAAGCCGATTTTGAACTCCTAGACGCTGGGCAGTTGAACTCGAGCAGGCAGCACATGTAGGAGCTATAAGGGCTGGTTCCAGGCTGGGAGGATGAATGCAAGCAACTCTCCGCAGTGAGGAGAGGGCTGACAGCTGGGCCCGTGCAGAGCTCTGCAGGGTGTCCAGAGTCCAGATGCTGATGGCTCTCTGAAATCTGGCTGATTAGCATCTCAACAACCACTGTGACCTGATATAGGTCAACAAGTACATGTTGACTCATGTAAATAAAGAAAACAAATACACCAGTGCAAACACAAGCTTACTCTCACACACAAATACATTACTAACAAACAGACACAAACATAATGCACTGATATATACAGTCATGCACTGAAATTGTCAGAAAGAAATGCACACTCATAGGCACACACACACTCTATGCATGACCTGAAGGCTCTTTTATCAGCTCCAGAGATTTTATTACAGTCATCGAGTAAGGCTGTGTTCAGATAAGTGTTTGACAAAGTACACTACTAGCGAAGTTCTTTACAATTGGGTTTCAATTCCAAATCTGTAATCTTTATGATTCTGCTGTAAGAACAAAGCACTCTACACTCCTACCCAGTCATATTTCTTTAGTCTTCATGCCACACTTCCTGGTCTACACATAGGAAATTACAATATTGTCAGCTGAAGAGTGGGCTGACCAGGGAGAATGAGCACTTAAGGCTTAGGCTCATCTTCAGAGGCCTTAAAACATTCTGCTGTTAAATCAAGCTATACCCTGAGAAGAACAAAGGCCATCGACACATTTCACCGTCCAGAACAGAACTCTGGCTTCTTCTAAACCCTGGGGAAACGGAGCCTCCTTAGCCACTTATCATGCATTCATCCTGCAAACTGTTCCATAAGAAGCACACAAAAATATGTACCCAAGTTCTTGTTACAGAGATGCCAGTCATTCAGTCTCTCACTCACCCAGGTTCCTGCTGTCTGTCTTCAGCCTCTGACCAGCTCTGGTAGCACTTTAGCACTTGGTGTATAGGAGTGAAGCCCCAGAGAGAATGTGTGTTAATCTGTCAACTGCTCTCTCATGTGATCTTTCTCCTGCCTCCAATTTCCTGCCTGAAACACCCCTAACCCTGCCCACAGCGGACAGGACTCCTCCTACAGCAGCTTACAATATATCTGCATCAGCTCTAGTCTCCTCCCTCTCCCTCTCATGCAAAGTCAATCTGTACTGTTAAACACCCTCTTTCTTGCCTTCTGCTGTCTCTCTCTTTATTTCCTCTGGCAGGGAAATCACTCCATTCCCTGTCGATGGAAATCACCCATTGTCTGTCTGGTTTCAGAAAGTGGCCATTCGGCCATAACTACCACTTTTCCAGTAGCTGTAACAACCACTGTAAAGAAGTATCTTGAGTGGCTCATGACATAACTCAGGATCTACATCACATAGTTCAGGTTAAGAGAATAGTCAGCTTCCTTCAGTCTGCATGCCGGAACATGTAGGAAAGTCAATGTAGATGATGCAGTTAGTACATTACTTCATAAATGTTCTCATTCAGAGAAACACAAGTCTTATTTGACTTCACTGTTGACAACTTTGAGTTTTTCTGGCCCCTGCAGATCTGTGTTCCGTTTATTCATAATCTGGAATGTAATGAGTTTCACTGCAACGAGCAGACAGATCAGTTCCTCTCCAGAGCACAAGAGAGCACTCAAGAAACAGGCCCTCTGTGACCATCTGGTTACTGCTTCCTGGGCTATATCTCTGACCTTGACCCTGAGTGTGCTTCTGGTTTACAGTCAAGGCAGATGGATGAGTGTAACCCTCTTCAGCAGGCCAGGAAAAGAATCAGAGTCCAGGCTAGAGAGGTGAAGCAAACACCAGGCCTTTATTTCAGGACTGAACTTAAGGCACCATACAGCAGCATGAAAGGAAGAAAAAGTTTCTCTCTCCTTTTTCTTTCTCCGCCCATTTCCTCTTTACAGCCAGATAACAGAAGTTACAATCCTCAATCCCACCCAACCCCCTCTTCCAGCAGCGAGATGGCTTTCCTTTCTAGCCTTTCTGTTTTCAAAAACTGAATTTGTAGCTGCCTGCAGTCTACGCGCTGCATGTCATTATCCCAAGGACGTATTGTTAACAAAAGAAGTGCTTTAAACATAAAGAACTTTTTACAGATGCAAGGTCATTGGTGCTTTGAGTACAGGCATAATGTTATAACTGCAACAATTTTGAGATTATAATGGTGTTATATAAATGATGTAGGTGGGTGCCAGTACCTACAGCTTCCACATACCAAAAAACATTCCTGAACATCCCTGAAATTACACATCCCCGAAGGACCAATGCTGTGCTGAAAGGGGCTGGTGGGAAGTGTTTTAGGAGCTCAGTGTGATGAAGAACTGAAATGCAGACAAGTCTCAGGGATTCAGCGTCTACCAAACCTCAGAGAAGCATTGTGGTGCTGGTAAATTGTGACCTTGGGTAAATAACAGCTCTTAATCAAGAGCAGACTGCTTTCCCTCCCTTTGCAGCTTTCTGATCCAGTCTGTCAGAAAGGGAACACACAATACTCATTCTTGACCCCCTGCAGGGCTCAATCCTAGCTCCCTACTGCAAAGTTCCACGACAACAGCGCATTAATTAAAACACAGCTCGGCGTTTACTGACTGAACAACACAAACCTTCTGCCTGGGTGGGAGTCAGCAGCAGCTCTGACCTCAGGAGTTGCTCATTCAGAGACCCACTTCAACGGAAAGACAAACCTTCCCCTGAAGAGCGGGACTCTGGAGACCTGGTCTGGTCAGTCTGCACTGGTGCCCACGGCACACTCCGGGTTTCTGACTCATACAACACTCATTTCATTCCTCTTTTTTCCACCAACCTCATTTCCGGTAGATTGGATTCCTGGAGATCTCTGCACCCCTACCGTTTTCCAACCACTTCCCTAAGTGCCAGAGCAAACTTGATCCTGGTGGAAAAATGCCTTGTAAATAACCCTGGATA